TATCCAACAAAATTCTTGTTACGTACAAATGTACAAATGTTTGAACAAATTTCGAGCAATATTTTGAAATTGCCGTAGTCGAACTCGGAAGGAGAATTGCACGTATGTTTAAATTAATTTGATATCAACGTTGAAGGGAATTCGTGCATAAAATCATAGCATTTAGCTGACTTTGGTTGGACGCTGAACGTACGATGTATCCGTGGAATAGTTTGGGGGAAAGGTAGGCGTGCAAAGTGTCGATCGGCTTGGACTCTTTCGAGTTCAATTTATACCATTCACTCGAGAATTGTAGTTGTGAACCCCACACGCGACTCACGCCCAAAGAGAATCAACTTTCATGGAGCGAGGAAAGTCTGTCCACCCAAGTAAGTAAGTATATTATATACTTGCATAAATACTGGAAGCCAGATAGAATGCATATACAGCACCAGGCAGCAATTTTAGATCATCTATAAAATAGAAATGTTCTGGTTTTATGAACGAACAGAAATATATTTGATATTATTCTAATTTTATTATTAATTATTATTTCTTTAAAAACTATTTAACTGGAAAATTAGTAGTAATTTCTACGATAGATTTATGGGATTTGTTTCCCAAAAATACGTTTAATTGTTGCCATAGGACTTAGTAAAAGTAAATGTTTTAAGTTTTTTGCACGGTGCTGTAGATGCAGGAGCAGACGGAAGGCGGCCAGGTTCGCGTAACAACTTCGCCTGTCTTCTACTGGACCCGAGAACGGCTTGAGTTTCACGAAGGAACTCGTTCGTTTCTTTCCTGGCCAAGCCTTTCAGTATCGAGGTAAAAGCGAGAGAAAAACAAAATTATATTTGCACCTCGATCGATTGTGGAGGTAAGAAAGTTGTGGAGGTTATCGGGATGGTTTCTCCGCGTACCTACGGAATCTTGCGTTCCTCCTTTCAGCGAAATAAAGAAGCATACTTACGTATGTTGAAGATGACATTTTCATTTTTTTGTCAACGTGGAATATTAAATAATAAAAAAAGATTGAAGAATATGTTGAGTCATATGCTTGAGAAATATAGTTGATTATTTGCCGTGAAACTGAATTAAATTTGAAGTTAAATTCTTCAGAAAACGAATAATTTAACGTTAACTTTTTGGAATTTTGTTTCTCTGATAATTAAATTTTACTAAACAAGTAACTTTTAATATTTGATCAGTTAGTTCCAATTCCGTTTAATTCCAAGTTTTGTTTGTTAGTGGTATTCTCTAGAATATTCGATATATAGCGAAGCAAAATGTAGTAGAAAACACATCTTTTTACGCAGGCTTGTAAATTCGATCGTCAAGTGCGCACTTAGAACAGCGAGAATCGCCGCACGTGTGAAAGTATCACGAAATACTTTGATTTTAATGTAAAAGATTCTCAATGCCTGTCGGTTTACTTTGATATCTAAAATGTTATGTATTTACTACGAACGAATCGTTCGCGCATTAGATTGCCAGTTGCAAGAAATAAACATGAAACATAATAATTCTTAGTAGTATTACAAGTATGTGCTTGTAAATAATTATTTTATAATAGGTGTTTTAAAAAGAAAAATTATGATTTCTAATAAGTTTAAAAATGAAAAATTCATGTTTTCCTCATTTCTATTTTTTTCCCCGTTTTTGATGGCAATTTGATGGTATACAGACATACATGTGTATATGAAGATATCTTGGAGCACACGTTGAAATTAACGAGTGTGCAGAATTTATTCAATTCACTTCCTCGTTGTTAATCCTGCTAGTACACAAAGGCATTATAATTCCTGACAATCGTGATATACTAAATATTTGTACTTACATGGAATGTTGCGTCAATCGCGTTACCTCATTCACCGTCGAAAAACGATTTATTAAAACAATTAATAATACACATTTGTTCGTTCGTAGATCGATAAGAATTTACGATATCGTACGGAATTTCAAGACTATAGCGATATTTTTATAATATGTACGTAGGAAGTGCCACGGATAAAAGATATCTGTGAAATTAATAAGCGATTTCTCACACGATGCGATGTTAATCCGGCAGTTTCCACCGAGAAAGAAGTTCTTGTAGACGAGAAGTTAATTAAGCATTTTTCGCGCTATCATTAAAAAGAATGAGAGCGATAAAAATGCGATTAGCAGGATGCAAACGCTTTGCGTGGAAACGAAGATAAATGACGTTTACGCTATGCTCTTCGTGCTTCTCGACAATCTTTTCTTACTTTTCTCTTTCCTTTCCTTTTTCAACGAAAAAAAAAGCAGGAATCGCCAGTTTCTGAATCGAGCCGGTTATCTTCTTTGATTGTTTTAACATCTTCAACTGTTTCGGCTAGGTGAGCCGTAAAACAGCCGCTGATTTCTCCAGTTCTTACGAAATCGATACGTCTGTGGCTACGCCTCGCCCACACGCTTTTTCCGACGAGCAAATGTGGCAAAATTGGCCATTAAGACAGAAATTATTTTGCGTTAGTTGCGGTTTGTGCCCGTTCTCCCTCCACGAGCATAGTGGCATTCTTGTGGGAAACATTAGAGTCATTCCATTCCCATTGAGGATTCCACAATGGAATAACACGAGGAATTTATTAAATTAACGTTAGCAAATTGTGAGATTTCAAATTCAACTCGTTCTAAATGATTAAATTTGTTGGAAATTGCTGGAATACGTACCGATATCGAAAGTGTTTTCACTGACAGTGAAAGTGATATGTTAAACAGAAATGCAAAAACGAACTCTTGAATATTCTTTTTCGAGATGGCAATTTATTTTGCAGGAACAAAGAAACTATTAGATATGCAATTTTATTGGTAAGAACCTGTGTGAAAGGAGGAATTGGTTGATATTTTTGTATTTGCGTTGCTGCTTTTCTACTAAGCTGTACCGGAAACGGAAGTAGCTACGAAATTAGCCTGGCATTTACAAAATTCTCTTTAACGTTCGGAATTTATAATTAGTACTGAATTGTTACGCATTACAAGATACAAGAGATAAATAGGAGATAAGACTAAGACATAAATTGAATATACGATATATTCATTTTGTAACTGTAGAAGGCAAAATTTATTAAAGCTAGATACCTTAAGACTCGATATGATCATTTCCATAACGGATAAAAAAGTATTTTTATCTCCTGCTCTTTCATCCGCGACATTTTCACTTTTTTTTGTCCAATTCTTCTTGCCATTCTTTTACATCTATTTTTACGTTTTCTCTGTCTTTGCGTGTCGATAACCGTTTCTCTGGAGAACCGTTATCGGGTCAGTTTACCACCTAACCAGATCATATTCTCTTTGGTTTAATGGATACTTACGAAAATAAAATACCATCGAGGTCCCTGTCTTTTGTTTTCTCGGATACAGTCGTGTGCCGGCAGTCAATTTTCTCTTATTACTTTTCACTTGTTCCTACCTATAACTAACTTGGTCGCAAGATATTGATCTACAATGGGAGATTTATTGTTTAAGAATAGAGATATTGATCTGAAACGAAGAATTTTTACCTTTGAGACCTCATTTTGCGTGTGAAGCAAAAATTACTAGTTTCACTATATTAAATGACGCATAGAGATGGAGAGAAACACAGCAAATCATTAATACTTGATCAATTACAAAGAGCTCTAGATTTTCTGTAACGAAATTTCAATGTTTCCTTTTTCCAAAGATAGATTTTTATTCTTGCAATTATATTTTAACATCTTGCTATCCTTTTAAAACATAAGAACTTGGCGTATATGAAATGAAGGTTAGTAAGATAAATTCATGCGAATAGGTATCGGCAATGAGATCAACGGAATGAAATGCGTGTCACGATGATTCTTAAAAAAAATCAGCCAGCGACATGCCGGTGCATCATAATGAATCTCGCCAGTACGAAGTAACAGTATCGAGAGTATAGTTACACCGCTGACGGTAAGAGAGGTGTGTCAACCTACATTGTAAAAGTTTCAAATTCTTTCCTTTCCTTTCCGGATCTATTATATTAGAAATTCCAAACGCGAATTTTTCTCGTATGGTGAATTCTAATTAATACTTTATTGTCTAACTCTTTCTTTTTTTCTCCTTTTTTTCTATTTTCTTTCTTTCCCTTTGAAGTATCAGAATTCCGATCTACGTTGGAAAAGTTTCTCATTGAGAAAAATATTAAGAAATTTTACCATCGATATACGTATAGGTAACAAATACGAAATAATTATGATAATTAAGTTATTACGTACGTAAGAAGAAATTACGTACGTATACGTACGTTTCTTGGAATTGTAATTTTATACTATGTAATCCTCGATTCATTGCACCAGATTGTCAAGTCGACAACTATATTCGTGGGGGCCTCGCGCACGTAACAGCAAGACCAGTAACTCTGGTAAATTAGCATTTCCTAGACGCTTTCTAGGTCCGCCCGAATGTCTCGTCTGGCGCGACGAAAATTGTGCAATTGCGATCTCCTGGCGAGAGTGAAATTACGCGGTACCATTGTGAAGTGTCGTAATACGATCGAAATGATTGCCTAACAAATCGCCATTTCGATGTGATTTTATACCCGTGGCAACGCGCGAAAAAAGACACGTCTTTCCAGCTTCGCGCTTCATTCGTCGGCGTTGCATTTGGATATTCACGGCGATTTCCTGAGAGAAATCAGCATAACATGGAAATACAGAATTTCGAAGTAAAGTTTTAATGTCCGCGTGAAGTTTTGAGGAATTCGCAGTTGCTTTCTTCTACTTTCGAACCATACAAATTATTAATTAATAATTTCTTTTACACGCGTGTTCGAACATGATTATTCTAATTTGTCTACAATTATTTATCTATTTATTCTTTTATCGTATTGTATTTTATTAAGTTAGGTAGAAGCTCGTTAAACACTTAGAAAATGTTGCGCTGGTGTTTTATAATTTCCATTCGCACCTTAATTTACTTTCACAACGCTTTATCCGCTTTGCCGACATAAAGTTCAGGAATGAAGGAAAACTTGACTAAAGTTGCACGCGTATATGTTCCAGCGGTCACGGTACGAGAATGAACAATTACGTAGATCGCAGAAGGCCGCGGACAGGTGGTTCGAAGAAGCCGAGGACTGGGTCCATTGTAGGAAATGACCATGACGAGCGTGGCTGTCGCCCCGGGTAGCCTCGGCGCACCTCCATCTGTGCTCACCCCGAAAATGTATCATCTACAGCAGGGGTTAAACCCAACATCGGTCTCACCTACTCCCGGAAAGGTAAGCTGTAATATTATTTAGCGCAGTGAAATCCAAATAGAAATTTGCTACAGTCTCTTCTTACGATAAATGAACATTTGAACATTTTTATGTGTATTACCGTGCTTTCGTACATTTCTCAAATTTCCTCCAAATGTATAAACATACCTAATCCATAGATCGCAATCGTGGCTATCTCAATCCTATACTTAACTTGCTTTCTAAAGAGTCAGTGGTACGTCAATTTTAAAAAGACATACCGATTTTCGCGTAGCAATTCAGTTTACTCAAAGCCACTTACGTAAATCACATCGAAAATCAAGTTGTACGTTGAAGAATAGTGTGCACATACGTGTACGTACGTACATAATTGTATGTACATAGTGCGCCTCGAATTTATTAGCTGAGAACGGGACTAAGGCCGTGTTCATTCTGATAAAAACCGTACAGAGAAAGTTCGCACAAGCCGGCTGATAATTACAATTCGTGACCAGCCACTTATGTAACGATATAGGATATATGCAATAGCAGCATGTACATATGCAAGTTTCTACAGCTCGTCTCGCGTGTCATTCAGTTTTTCTTCGTGTTATTTATATACATAGATCCCTCTCGTCGTTGCATCGGAAAAAGCTCATTATGAGACAGTAAATCAACGCAACGATGAATAGCTGATGACATTATTTATAGGATGTTTAATTCATTAGGTAACTTTTTCTACTCGCGTTACTATTGAAACTAACAGAGTGCGTTTGCGTCTGCTTCGGGATAAATTCATATCGAAAGCCTGAAACGCGAAACATCTTGGCAAGGACAAACCAGCTCTTCCAATGATGTAAGAGAACTGGCGTACTTAGTACGCGACTTAATTCGTCCAGCTATTACACAAAGGCTGGTTCTGGTTTTACCTCAAAACCTGACCTCGCCACCGACACCTACAATTATTACATAATACCCGCTGGTTGCGTCTTCTGCGCGCAGTTGAACTCGAGTACGCGTTATCGCACTCAGTCCCTGTGTTCAACGACGAAATATCGAACAAAACAGGACCAGTGCCACGGGACGAAATTCGATCCCGCAATTTCGGAAATTTCATTACGAAAAAAAAGCCAGCGAAAGAAATTAACCGTGAGTTAAGAGTAGAATATCCGCTAGAAATTCTTTCTACGATATACGTAGACGGTTATTAGCTTTGTGCTTCTTTCGCTTTGAAGTTGGTACAATGAATCCGGTATGCGTATTCCTTAAATACATAGGTATATAATGACTTTTCTACACTCTTGTCAAATGTTGCGAGTACAGTGGCAACTGACTTACGTATGTAACATGCAACCGGTTTTGCGTTTGGCCCACATTGCTATGCTACGATAGAACTTTAGAGATATTGCGTCCCAGAAGTACATACTCTTTTCGTATTAAGCACAGATTGCTCGATATGTCTGTGGATCCGGTGCTAAATCCTTGCTGCATTTTCAAAGAAGAAAGTTTCTTCTGGTAGAGAAGTATTACGAATCTTTATATGCATAGATATGATCGTCATGCTTAGATCGCGGATATTTATACACGTTAAATATGACATTTATGCTCATAGAATATGCATAACGTGTTAGCACATTTGACATAAGTTTAACACGTTGACTGTTTAACATTTTATCGCGGTGATAATTGGTGACTCGCGTCAAGTTTTCTCGAATGATCAAAATAAGATAAATTTCATGCATTGAACAATTTTCAACAATACGAACGACTTGGATAGCATTGTCAGGGGAAAATACTTTGCAAAATATTTTCCAAAGATTAACATATCTATATGCCAGAAGGAAATATATCAAATTTCTGATTGTTCGAAGATTCGAAATAAAAAAATAAACGGAACAATTTTCTGATAAATTTCGTTCACGAGAGCTTGCCACGATCTATTTGCCAAACACTTGGCGTTCGTGCCACGATCACAGTATCGTCGTCGATAAACGAAACCGGCCAATGATCGCACCAGCTTACACTCTCACATTCTCTTTCTGAAAGCAGTCGAGCTTTCACAATTACCAATTAAAAACGCACCGATGTACGTAACACGATACGTGATACGAAGTCGTCGAATCTTATCAATTGGCTCGCGTGCACCGATCGTGCGCCGAAGATCGTTATCAACACCCACGTTTCGTGTCAATCGGTGAAAACATCGCGCACGAACTTATGAAAAGACGAGGCCTGAGCATCCGGTTAAGGAAACGTGGAAGAAACGGCAGAACGCAAGGAGATCGACGAGCGAAGAGGCGCTTCGCAAATTGCGGTATCGTCTGTATGCAGGCTACGAGGATTGTGTAACCGTAGCCTCTGGTTGCCATAGAGGCGAGTGGGTATGATGCATCTATGGTGCATCCGCCGTGACCCCGGTGCATGCGCGTGCACCCGTGTCGTTTGCAAGATCCTATCGGGATAGCGCCCATATTCACCTGTCTTCGATTGCGTATAACACCTGTATGGGTGGGTACATTGAGAATACTTCGACGCTCGCTGCTCGTCTGTAAATTGTCAGTCTCTTAAGTGACTCTTATTTTAATATTCCAACTGTACACTGGATTTAATTTTATTATCCATTTGACGTTTTATTTATAGTTAAGTATTTTTTGTTCTTTTTTGTTTTTATGTTAAACAAAAAAAAAATACATATTTATAAAATATGGAAATCGTTGGAAAAATATAGATATAAAAGTTGCATAGATAGGCAAGCTACCGAATACGATAGAAATTTGTTACTGAAAATATGTCAGTGACTTTGCGATACGTTTGCAAAGTAATATGTGTTTCGTCGTGTAACTATACATAGTAGCTTAACGCTCCAGATGAGACGATTCTTCTACTGTTTGTACTGCACCCTGGATTTTTGCTATTTGGTGCGCGAGTTTGAAAGTGAACTGGACGTTTCGTCGTTGTAATTAGAGTTTACGCTTGTTATCGCATTAGCATCTAGGAATTAAGGCTTCTGCCGGACGTTTCGTGCATTTTTGAAGAATTTAATGTCTGCAGTTTACTCGCTATGCTAATTTATGGTATTCGCTGTCTTTTTTTTTTGTATGTGTAAAGTAGAATGATTCGAGGGAGGAATTTTAATTCAATGATAATCGAGCATTGTTTCCACGATTGGTTCGCTTTCAAATTAATTGACGATTTTATCTTCCATTATACTTTTTATTTGAACAAACGAACGTAACATTTTCACAGAAGAATTCCTCAACTTAGATTTTTTAGGACAAAACCATCAGAAACCTTTCGATGTACAAATTATTTCACGCTGTTATAAAAGTAAAACGATATTGCGAAATATCATACTTTTAGATACGAGATCTCCACGAAGAAAAGTTCTCCAACTTACGTCTCGAAAGAAAAGATTTTAAGCTGTAAATATGCGCAACGAAAATATGTTCTCGCGTCGTGTAAGCTTTTCAAATCTTCGAATGATTCCTATTGCAAAAGTCATCCGCGTCGTTATACTTTGTTATTTTTAATCGTTTAAATTTGTGCAGCTTTTTGCTCGGCATTCGCAAGCAGAACGATGGTTTTCACCGATCGACAACGTGTTAAGTAGTGCATACATTTCTCGACGTAAGAATGTACTTTTCCGATCCTGCAGGCTGACTTTGCAATTTCTAGCTTCGCCAACGTCTCGTAAGAATTCGAACGCACAGTTTTCTATCGCTCGTTGCTCGTCATTGATTCCGCATTTGCTATTAGTCTGTTGCGCATCGAGCGTGAACAAATAGCGTAAATCAATCTTCGGTACTTACATCGCTCGGCACTGATGCTCGTACAATTAATCATGTCGATGATTTACAACGGCAACTCTAAAATATCAATTCCAATAATTCAGAACTGTTCAATGCTGAATATCGATCAAACGTTAAGGATTATTTCTTTTACGTTCAAGGTGAACTTTTAGCAAAAACTATCGTTAAAGACTGCTATTATGATCGCATTGAATACGTAGCAATGTAACAAATTTTTAACTCGTCATTAAGACTGGTAGTCTCTTCAGTTTGCAAGCACTGAGATCCACTTAATAGAACTCATTTGCCTTTTAGTAACTTCTCATACCATGATGTGTAGCAATTGTTCGTTAACCTTCTCAAAAATGAAATCATTGAAACCGAAGAATCATCGTTGTTTTTTTACTTTTCTGATAGAAATAACAGGTAGTAAAATTCGTTCATTTTCTATATTTCTCGCCGTAAATTTTTCTCGTGCATCCCTTGTTAAGATAAAAACATTTCAAATGAAAATTATGCTCGACCAGTAGCTGCGAGCGATTCTTCGAAGTTATAAAACGAAATTCTATTTTTAGTCGAAGGATGCGCAGCATTAATACCGAGATCGAATGATTGCACTGTTCCCCTGCACATTGTGAAAAACCAGTCACATTCTAAATATAGTAATATGAACGCAGATCGTTCGATTATCTCTCAGGTAGAAGACGATTTCTCGAACTGCGTTCTGGACAGACCATCTAAAATCTAAGTTGGACGTTACAAAATTTCCTTGCTCGTTCCCCTTCGTTCTAGTCTTGTGGCACGCGTGCAAACGAGATATGGCCTTCGGAAAGAGATTTAAGAAAAAAAAAAAAAAAAGAGAAGAAGGGAACTGCGCTTTTGAAATCACGACTAGTTGCAATCCATTTCGAGAGCAATACACGAGGGAGAGAAAAGGAAACGAATCGATACGGGAAGAGTGCGCCGGTTCTTGCGAAAAGGGAAAGAGAAAGATACGACGAGCGGTAAAAAGAGAGAGGAGGAGGAGGAGGAGACGTCACGCGAATAGAAAATGCCCATCTCTTGAGGTCATCTTGATCTCTCGAGCCTTGGCCATCGGGGGAAAGTGGACTTCTGCCTTTTATGTCATACGTGGTCGACTTTTGATTCTCACCTTCCCTTTGACATTTCAATAGATTCGATTCTTCGATTCGCCATTTAAACCAAGCAAACGATCATGCGTTAGGTTGGCTAGAAAATTCTATCATATTTTTC